TTCAGTGTGAGGAAAATTGAAAACTGTTTCCCATATCCACTCATGACAGATTAGAAAGAAAGGAGCTTTAGTGGTTGGGGAATTTCATACAAGCTATCACCAAAGGTCATTCTTTCTTATGTTGGAGAAATGCTTATAGTCAGAGCTTGGCCTAGCAATGGGAGGAAAAAGAGCATAAGTATTCCATTCCCTTCCCTTTCTATGGCAATAGCAGGAAATAATTAAGATAGCTTTCACTAGCATATTTTAATATTAATAATTATTATAACTATATTGGCAATATATAGTGACTTATGGCATGTGAGGTACTATGGGGGGGCCTTAATTAATATTCTCTTGCAATCTTGTGAGATAAATATCCTATGTTATCCTCATTTTAGATATGAGGAAACTAAGACTCAGAAGGTTTAAGCAAATGACACAGCTGGTAGGATGTGAATCCAGAAGTTTCCTTCCAGTGCCCTAGCTTTTAACCACCACATTATACTATCTGATATTTTTTGCTTCACAGACATTTTACAACCAATAGGAACAGCAAAAGATTCAGGGAAGGAAAAGCCTCTGAATGTTTGACATAAGCAAGGATGAAGAACACAATTATAATATTTAATTATAGGTTTATGTCTAATGCAGGTTCTTGAATTCTAGAATTTTTTAGACAGAGGTGTACATGTGACAATGAAGTTAACATTTACTTCAGTGGTGGCTGTTGGAGGTATGGATCTAAATCATTTTAGAAGCCAGATAATAGAAAAAGCTTTTTGTTAAAAAATCAGCTTGGCTAGCATGGCTTAGTGGTTGAGCATGGACTTATGAATCAGAAGGTTATGGTTTGATTCCTGGTCAGTGCATAAGCCTGGGTTCAGGGCTCAATCCCCAGTAGGAGGCATGGAGGAGGCAGCCGATCAGTGATCCTATCTTGATTCTATCTCTCTTTCCTTCTCTCTTTCTACCTGAGATAGATATATATTTAGTATTAGTTCTGGGCAATCACAACAGATCTTTCAATGACTGCATGTTCTTAGATCACTTACATGTTTTATTCTTGATTTTTTTCCTGCCCCATGTTTCCCTCCCAAGGTAGCTATCAAGGCAAAATTGTATACTGGTAATGAAAACAATTTGAAGATTATAAAGCAGGTTTCAAATGAAATACTTATTTTAGTTAGGATGTAATATCAATCCTATATAATAAAGACGTAATATGCGAATCAACCATCACTCCAACATACAAGATGGCCACCCCTATGTGGTCAAAGATGGCCAGCAAGGGAGGGCGATTGTGGGTGATCAGGCCAGCAAGGGAGGGTAATTGGGGGGTAGGGGGGAAACAGGCCTATAGAGGAGGGCAGGGGCAATTGGGCTACCAGGAGAGCAGTTAGGCATCGATCAGGCTGACAGGTAGAAGCGGTTAGTGGCAATCAGACAGGCAGGTGAATGGTTGGGAGCCAGAAGTCCTGGATTGTGAGAAGGTGCAGGCTGGGCTGAGGGACATCCCCCACATGCATGAATTTCATGCACTGGGCCTCTAGATTATTAATAAACATTGTTAATATCAGTTTCTTAATTGTACTGCAGTAGTTTCATTTTATAAGAGTGTATCATAATGTTTCTTTTTTTTTTTATGTCAACGACTAACTCTCCCTCTATCATAGATATGCCACCTCTTTGAAGAAACATTGTTCCCTGGTGACCTGAGCCTGTGCTTCTCAGACTCTGATCATGAGTTTACTTGTTAGTTTACGTAAGTGTCCCTTCCAATAGATGGCGAGTCCATAGAGGCAATGCTGTTTATTATCAAATTTTATAGATCTCAGCAGAGATCTCGGCTCACTGCATAAGGATATAAAAATGATGAAGAAGGGATATAACCCAAGAAGATATTAATTATACCTTCCATATCCTTGTTCCTATATTTTGTCCCAAGTATGTTGTGCTGGTATAAGAGGTAGTGGATTGCTGAATAAATAGTTTTCATATCTGACATTTAATAAAATCAGCACATAACATTGCCAGTTTAAAAAGTTTGAGGCATGAAAGTCTATTTGAAAAGCAAGTTCCTCTCTAACAAGAGCAAAAGTAGAATAAATGAGGAATGTGACCACACAGCAATAGGATTGATATCTACTTGCTATTTTTCAAGTCAAGCTTCATATCTTACAGTCACACCTTAGAAATTAAGAGACTTGCTTAGATGTCTCTACTTTCATTAGTAAATCATATATAAAAGAGAGCTGAATTCTTTTCCTAAAAATATTACTATAAATAAAATGTGGCTTTCTGAAAGATAGACTATAAACAGCACTGAATGAATTAAGTCCATTCTTCAAAATAAAAAACATGGGCAGAAAATATGGGATATGCTAAAAACAAACAAAACAAAACAAAACAAAAAAACAAAAAAAAAAACAAAACAAAACCAGAAAAAGCAAATGACTTAAAAGGCACTGTGAACTCCTAGGATGTACCTGATATTAAACTAGTTACAATCAGTTATTCTAAACATAGTTATGAAATAGACTGAATAGCTTAAGAGCAAAATTCTCATTGGCATAGATGTTTACTTTAAGCTTCTTGACAAATTGAACAAATACTTTAGTTTGTCCAAAATTATGTTCCCATCTCTAGAAACTGGCAATAAACCATGTAGCAATACTCCTGCATCTAAGTTCATTTAAGTTGACATCAATGATAAAAATTAAGAAATGCTAAGAAGTCTCTGAAGGCTATGTCATTATGCAAAATGAGATGAACATATCTGGCAGTTAGGAAGTGGTAAAGACCGTGAGCATTGGATTCTAGTGTAAAAGTAATCAGTAAAAGGCTAATCCATACAGAAGAGTGAAGAAAATCTGGGAATTGTGAGTTTTGAGAAGTGCAAGATTACATAAGATGCCATCACTTCAGAGGTTAAGGACATGTGCCTCTTCCCCTAATAACCCATTATATTTGGATTTTTCATTGTATCTAAAGTTTTGCATATTGGGTTAAACACACATTAATTCCTGAGGTTATGTCCTTCATTAGTATATAAACATCTGTGTAAAAGTGAAATATAATACCCCTGAGAAGAGTATTTGACTGAACTACTGTTGACTATCTCTCCTGAGATGGAGATGACGCATAAATATATAGGTACTCAAGACACACACAACCACAAAACACACACACACATATTTTCTTTTTGAATGTCCACACTGAACTTTCCCCCTACGTCATTAGTTGCTTGTGCCACCTCAGATATTTTTAAGGGAATTTTCTTGAAGGTTTACCTTATCTGTTTGGCATTTAATTGTCCAGCTTGAAGTGGTCTCAGTGTCTATGAGTAGCTTTCAATATTGCAAAAAACTCCTGCACTGCATTTCACAAAATTTCTCACTGGTAACTTACAGGTTCACAACCCTCTAGAACTCCTCCAAGTTGCCAATGTTGTTGTTTTTTTTGTCAACTAGAGAAGCAGTTTTATTCTTCATAGCATTTAAAATATATTTAAGAAACTATAACAGTCACAAAATCAGTCTCTAGGAAATTCTGTCCTTTATATACCGCTTCACTCAGAGAGAGATTTAGACACATACAACTATGTCAATAAACACACCAGACACTACACTCTTCATGGCAAAGGGCTCTTTCCTCCCTCTGTCCTGTTCAATGTCCCTCCATCCCGAGTGCAGAACTATTCATGTATAACACTTAATAAATCTTCACTAAAGGCTCTTTACCAGTAAATCCAGGACTATTGTGAACTGGCCAGATGCAGAAAAGTGAGAGGATTTCCTGGGCCCTTACTTGATTTTTACTCCAATAACTAAGAATGCTTGGATCCTCAGAGGCGCCCTCAGAAGGCAGCAGTCAGATGTAGTATTACTAACATATTTCATGTTAAGGAAGATGTAATACAAACTTAGTGAAACACAGTATGGCTCAAAAACCCTCGTGTCTAATCTTTAAGTAAATAACATCTTACTGCATGTCAGAGTCAGAAGTCCCAATTGTAGCTCAACTGGACAGATATCAAAAATAGCGCTAGGTCGACTATACTTGCCTGGAAGGGGATTTCTCCGGTCCTCTGGTGGCAACAGTAACTGTTTACTTCCCTGTACACAGTGGCAGGGAGTTCCTAACATACTGTACTGGCGTCTGATAGCAGGGGCTCCTCCATGTCAGTGGAGAGGTGGAACTTAAGCTCTGTGCCCAGATAGGCTTGTTTTGCACAGTGTTGAAATGCAGCGATACAGTAACCAGAATGCCTTTTAAAAAACGTGTGTTGCAATGGCACTTTTTAAATTTATATTTCAAACAAAAGCATGATAGAGCATGCTTTCACTTGCTTTATATCACATGCATGCAATATGCTTAATGCATAAACTTGTACCCAAATGTCTCCATCACCTTCATGAAAACTTAGCTGTGTATGTGTGTGACATAAATTGTATAAAAAATTCAAGCCATTATTACCTAATAAAGTTATATATGTATAGGTGTGTGAAACTCAAGAATCACAGAATTACTACTCTAACAGCATTTACTTGACTTTTTTTTTAAAGCAGTGGTAAGGACTATATATATATATATATATATATATATATATATATGTCTCATTTATATATAGTTAAACTTACATTTTAATTATTGTGATTATGGATATGGCACATAATTAAAATAATAAGCACTGCTCAGAACTGTGGAAGCAAATAGAGATCATAGAATACCAGCTGAGCAAGAAGCCCTTTGTGAATCCTTCCTCACTAAGTAAACGTGTTTATGTGTCCCTTCCTATAACATGGTTTTCTAAGAGCAAATTTGCATTTGTTTTATTTTTAGTTTACTGACGACCTAATATAGGCGGTTTTGCAAACTCTGCATGTGCCAATAGGAAATTCTTTGGTACCAAGTTAGGAACCACAGTAATTAAAGATGAGCGAGGAAAAGAGAGAAATCTTACTGGGGAGAAAAAGGAGAGAGAGGCTTTCAAAGGCATTCAAAGAACAGCGACCTACCAGCTCCACTCTCCCGAATCCTCCAACGCCAAGGGTGTCGATGATGTTGAAATCAGACAGCTTCAGGTTGGCGAAGAAAGCAGCCTCAGCTTCGTATCTGGATTTTTTGATGCGAAAAAATGGAAATTTCTTAGAGGTGCAAACACGAGTACCACGCACAACTGTTGCGGAATGACAAGACTGTGGAACAGGGTTTACCTGCTGACATTCCATCTTGCTTTTAGAGTCTGTGTTTTCTCACACTCATACTGTTTTGGTCCCACGGGTGCAGCAAAACATAGATTTGCACTTGCTTTTTTTTTTTTTTTTTTCAAAGGAGAAAAATACAAAGTACCCACTGCATGCCCATCCTGTGACTGATAAATCCAGTTATCAAATCAAAGTTACATCTTGGTCTTTTTCTACGCGTCTTCTTGTGAGCACAGATTGTTTGAGTTCTTTTGTGGTTCTGTTTTGGATTTTTTTGGATTTGCTTGGTTTTGGTTTTGCCGTTCAGATTTTGGAAGGCAGTTTCTCATTAGCTTCCCTTATCCACAGGCTGGCAGTGGCTTCTATAAATGTTTGCTACAAGCGGCAAGATCATTGAGGTCTCTGAAGTGAAGTCACAGCCAGGTCTTATGCAAACAGATCCAAAAAGCTGAGGGCTGATGTGCAAATGCCTGCACTGGATGGTCTCAGAAGCATATTCGCATTCCTAAAAAGTGTCTTCCCTTCATTTATGTTTACCCACTGACTCTCAGCTGGTAATCCCAGGGTCTTTATGTGTGCAGGTTTCTTATATGAGTGATGGGAAAAGCATGGACGGGGCTCCCAAGGTCTAACTATGCACACATGCAAATCTAACACATGTGAGTGTGTCAGATGCAAAATAAGCATCTCCTGATGAGACAAGTGAACATGAGCTGCTTAAAATACCTCCTTGTTAAAGGCCCTGCTAATTTTAGAAAGGGCAGGAAGGCAAAGAGATGAAGATGATCCTCCCCCGCACGAAAGTCAGGTCAGGGAGTGATCCAGCTGTCCCAAAAATAAAGTATTTGCATAGCTATGTGCAACCCATGACCTTCAGCCAGGCGGTACCTGGCTCAGTATTGCGCCATAGATAGAGGCGATGAACTCGCTGGAGATAAAGATACTAGCACAGCTTGTTTATGCCAGTTTGTGGATAGGACCATCCACGGGCATGTCTGGAGTGAGGCTGCAGGACATTTTTAATGATTCCGTTATAACTAAACACAAACTGAGATTCCCCACTTGGGAGGAATGTGAAACAGCTTTCTAGGTGAGCTTTCAACAGTGTCCAGTTTATAACCACAGTTCCAGTTTTTAATAAGTCAATGCTTGATAGATCACAAGAAGGTTAAAAAAAAAAAGCATTGTTTTTCATTATTGGCTAATTGTGTAAAATCAACTCCCTCTAACCAAACCTTATAAACAAGACTACCACTCAATCCTAACTAATAGCATTTGCAGACCTCTCTCAATGCACAACCGAGATCAACATTGTAATTCAGGAGATGGTTTACTAGAATGGAACACAGGCAGCAAATGTGCATTTCTAGCATGCCAACTGCCATCACTACTTTTAGAAAATTAACACTCCATCCCATTTAAAGGGCCAATGGCAGAGTTCACTCCAACAGGTGTTTAGAAAGGACATCTGTTGGGATCAGAACCCACGATAGTTTGTTTGCGGACAAGCATTTGTCATGGTTTAGAAAATCAATGAGATCATTTTTAATAATATCCTTTGCATTTGCTGGATTTGGAATCTCAGCTATTAACAGGGTAAACTTGTTCTTGGATATATATATATATATATATATATATATATATATGTAAATATATATATGTAAATATATATATATTTACTTATAGCTCTCAAATTCTTACATCTGGGATCTGTGAAATTAGGATGGAAAGATCTCTACTCAGTGATCTTCAGCCTGGTGTTGCACATCAGAACTACCTGAGAATATTTCAGAAATCACTTAATTTGGGTCTAACCACAGACCAAATGTATCAGAAATCCTGGAAGCAGCAATCAAATGCCTGTATTTAAAATAAAATAAAAATCCCACCAGGTGATTCTGATGCACAGTATGGGTTGAGTACCATAGTTCTACTCCATGGAAGACCTTCAGGAGGTTCCAGAAACCACAGAAAAATTTGGGGGGTGGGTTAAAATGGCCCATGGAAAACAGTCACTACCCAGTGAGCCTGGGGGTGATACATTCATGCCATCAGTGTTGGGACTCTTTTAACTTGGTCTTGGCTTTGATCTTCTGGTTCTAGACCCAAAGGAATGAGCAATAATTCTATAATGGTTAACACAGCTATAAATAAGAACAAGATTGCTAAAAAAAAAAAAAAAAAACAAAACAGGTAAAGAATGCAAAAGTTATAAGGTGATTACTTTGTTTTCACATTTTTACGGTAAAATAGTAAAATCTTCTTGCCTTTGTTTACATTCACTATCTGATAACTGACCATATTTTAACCAGAAGGATGAACATAGGAAATCTCCTGTCAAATAGTACACATTTTCTCTTCAGCAATTAAAATCCACTTAAATATCTACACTGGAAGCACCAATTATAGTTAAATACAAATATTTCATAGGTTTTAATGAGAAGAGATCACTAACATTTTAATCATATTGCTCATCTTTGTTAAATAATTTGCTAATATGACTAGGTGAATTTTTTAAAATACTTCCTAGTTGGGTGATTTTATCTAATGGTTGGTGATATACAATTTGAAAGGGCCTTGGGATAATTGTGGTCTTGATCTTCTATGCTATTCCTATTTCCTTCAGATCCTGATTCTTGGGGAAGTCAAACAAGATAGGAATGCTATCAGATCAGTTTCTCTTTTCTAGTCAAGGAGATGTTATTGTTGAATATATCATATCCATTTATTTTTTCCTCATTTAAATTACTCTTTAGGGACAAGATTTACACTTTTTTCACAAAAACTCTGCACACTTTTCCTTTCCGAATTAATAACTTTTATTTTTAACGTGGAAATCACCACCTGTAAGAAGTCTGGTGAAAAACTGAACTTGGATGATTTAGCTTCTTCAGGTATCTAACCACTTTTGCTCATAACTTGGAAGGATATTTTTAGTTTCTTTTAACTCAGGAATTATTTGTAGGTAATTTCAATCCATCAATTAAGTACTCCCTTCTTTAGAGTTGATAAAAGTTTAAGTGGAAAGAAGACTAAATAAATTAAGTAAATGGCCATTATTTCATAAAACAAACTTATTTTGCCTGAAGGAGGTAAACATGAAATCAAAGTTCCTAACTTACTAATGTAGGGTACCAGGCCCAAGAAATTAGTTCAAGTTTCATGCAATTCTAAAATCCAGCTGTGCAAAAGTATTTACGGAAGGGACCATTGCCAAGTGCTAAGGAAGACGCATCAGTGATGAATACAGTTCCTGTTGTTTGTTTGCTTAAATTTTGTCAAGGAGCAAAAAATGTATTTTCTAATGGACTGAGATACTGATTTTATCTATTTAGCTCAGGGTGTTAGGTATGGATCCTCTTCCAAGAAAAATGTAAATAGTGACATATCTTTCTGCATATAACACCAAAAAGCTTACAAACTCCTAAAATAGGTTAATTACACAAAATAACTAAAATACAAGAGAATAATTTGGGTGCAGGAGACAAAGGTAACATATTGTTTCTGAATCACAATAGTCACCTGGGGCTATGGTTATTAGAATCCACAGACAATTGCTAATCCATACAGGGTACTCTTTAAATAGTAAAACAATGAGCTTTTCTTTTAAGAACTGCTAAAAAGGAACAAAGTATCCTAGAATTCACCTCCTTTATATTTCTGCCTGTACAACAAGGAGGTTCCAAAAGTAATGAAAATGTAAATGTGTAGGTGTACAAATAATGGCACCAAGACACATATAGTCTAGTAACCAAAAAACATCCCTGGAATAATCTCAACCTCTCTCTAAAAGTACATATATGTACAGTGTTATATTCACTTTTTTTTTAGGAAATAAAAACCAGTAGGCTTTATTTTTTTTTTTCTATCTCTTCCAATATCATCAGCTTCCACAAATCCAAAGAGTGAGAATCATGTGTCCTTTGTTATTCACAATTGCTTTCCCAGTGTTTCCATGCCTCCATGAATCACTTCTGTCCTTTCTAAATAACAGAATTGGGTTTTAGACATTATGACTGACCATTATTATGAAGTGAACATCTCCAGCTATATAATGGGAACCAAATATGGTTGAAATGAAGCTTAAAATGAAGCTTAAAACTTTATATTTTCCTTGATATTATAATAACAGAAATCACTCAGCATTATTTAACCAAGCAGACAGTATATGTGCATTTTAAAGTAAAGGCCAAGGATCCAAAGGAATATAACAATAGTTCCAGATGGGTTACAAAAGCCAATGATTAGGAGGCAATGGAACAAAAGGCTAATGTAGCCCTGCTTGCTTTAGCTCAGCTCATCTACAATCCAAATTAGCTTCAGAAGTCAACTCTAAGAGTTTCTTAGGAAAACAAACAAACAAAAAAAATCATTAGCATTTCCTAATCCACATGCAAATTAGTTACCAAGGTCTTTGCCTGGGCTAATGTGCTCTAGGATGTATTTTTATGTCCTAATTTTGTCAGTTTGGGGGGAAAGCTACAAAAGTAAAATGTTCTGGTAAGTACCCATGGCCTCTCATCTATGACTAAGTTACTTATTCTACTGCTGTAATAGGTAAGTTAGATTAAACCAGTCTCTACTCTGGACTTCAAAATAATTGAAAGAGTACAACACAGCCTATAGACAAAAGCTCATGACTTGTCTTGGCTCTTGTCAACAATTTTGCATTTACAAGTCCTGTTTTCTTTAACATTTACACCTTAGTAGTAGAAGTATTGACAAACATACACTCAAGTAAATAAATGTTTAAGTCAGAATCCAGGTTTACTTGAATGTTTACATAAATGCCTAGAAAATTTCTTTCTCTTTTTGTTGTCTAAGAGCACTGCAATTTATAAATAAAAATCTAAAGAAACAATTAAAAGGGGGTAAGAATTTACACCTGAGACTAATAAATACTGTATG